TTTGGCCTTTTTAAAGGGGGGCAAAAGGGCCGAGAGGCTCCTTTCAAACCCCAAAAGTTCCATGGTGTCCTTTGAAAAATTAAAAATGGTTTTGGGTCCATTTTTCCGTTTTAAACCCCTGAAAGCCTTTCAAAAAAATTCCCCCCCCGGGGCTTTTTTTAATCTGGTTTAGGTTTTCCCCCCTTGTTTTTAAATTAAACTTTTGGCGAGGTGAAGACTCTTATCTGAGGGAAAAGACCTTTTGGTATCCTTCCTAACCCCAACCTCTTACCCCCCCCAACCCCCTCCCCACCCATTCCCCTTTCCCCTTCCCCACTTCTCTCCCACTCCAGTTTTAAATATGGGTTCTCCCCCCCATTTTGATCCTTGTACTGATTCTCTCTTTGCATCGATCTCTCGGCTCCTCTTCCTCCACTGCATGCTGTAAACCCTTGGTTTAGCGCTTCTTTTTGATTATTATAATAATAATCCACTGTACTAGACTTCACCTGGTCTCTCCTTCCGGACTTACATGACAGCAATCATTTTCCAATGATTTTACTTCTCCTTGATATTGACCGCGTCTTCGTAGTCCTCGCTGGCAGTTTGATCGAGTAAATTGGGACCCTAACTGCTTTTAGTGAGGTTTCTTCTTCATTATCCATTGATGAGTTTTTACACCTCTTCTCGACCTCAGTTTTAAACTGCAGCTTCACATACCCCAAACCTTGGGCAGGCATTTTCAAAAGTGCGTGCCTTGGTGGTCTCTTGCTTATGCTCGGGCAGTACATTTGAAACACGCTGCATGGGCAGGTACCAGTAAAATAAACCACAGAGAGACTCCTTGATTTTAAGCAGAAGCAAGTGGGTGCTCGCCGTGTCATCCGTGACACTAAACGCACTTGCTTGCGAGATTATGTTTCCACCATCACCTCTGCTTCCTCTATGAGTGCAGTCTGGAAAAAAGTATTGGAAACTGAGTGGCAAATACTCTCCTGACTCGGCTCCTGTTCTATGGGTTGCTGGTGTTGATATAGCAAACCCTCTTGATGTTGCCACCGAAATGGTAATCATCTGTCTGTCTCTCTCAAGGGGCTTCATCTATGCCCCTCGTTTCATTCCTCAAAGTCTGCCAGAGAGTTAGAGCCCTTAAAATTTTCTTATAATGTGCCTTTATACTTTCGGAACTGGAAGCAATGTTCTTTAATCTTATTTGGTCACAAGGAGTTCTTCCCCAGCTGTGGAAATCTGCCATTGTTCTCTCTCTCCACAAACCGGGTACTATGGGACATGATGCCTTCCACTTTCATCCCATTGCTCTTACCAGTGCAGTTTGCAAGGTGATGGAACGTCTGGTAAACTGACATTTGATGTGGTATTTTGAGACACACAACAGTCTCTCCACAAGTCAATATGGCTTTTGTAAAGGTCGTTCTACCATTGATCCCTTACTATGCTTAAATATATGTCTGTAATGCCTTTGCCAATAACTACTCAGTTATTGCCATCTTTTTTTGATCATAAGAAGGCATATTATGACACTACTTGGAGGTATAATATCTTGGTCCAAGCCCACCCCTTAGGTCTCCGAGACAATCTCCCATTTTTTCTTAAGAACTTCTTAACTGAAAGACATTTCCATGTCCGGGTTAATAATATGCTTTCCCCGAACTTTCTCCAAGCTGAAGGTGTCCCCCAGAGATGTGTTCTGAGCACAACACTTTTTCTCCTTGCTATAAATGATATGGCCTCTGTTCTTCCCTGCAATATTTGGTCATCGCCCTATGTTGATGACTTTGCTATAGCTTGTGCAGGTGCTGACTGTCACCTCATTGCAGATTCTCTCCAGCATGCGGTCAACCATGTTTCCAATTGGGCCACCACTCATGGGTTTAAATTTTCTAGTAGTAAAACTCACCAAATTACTTTCACTAGACGTTCAGTCGTCTCTGATCATCCATTGTACCTATATGGCTTGCATATCCCAAAACATGATACGGTCAGGTTTTTCGGCCTTCTGTTTGACCGTAGGTTATCCCGGAAACTTTACATTACCTCTCTGAAGGCAACTTGTCATAGCTGGCTGAACCTTCTTAAAATTCTTGCTCATCTTTCATGGGGGTTGATCATAGAACTCTTCACCTACATTCAGCCCTAATTTTATCAAAACTCTATTATGGTGACCAGATCTATTCGGCAGCCTCTCCTGCTACTCTCTCTAGCCTTAATCCCATCCATCACCAGGGATTATGTTTATACCTTAGTGCTTTTCACTCTTCACCAGTCGAGAGCCTTTATGCAGAAGTGAATATTCCATCCTTGTCCGATCATCGTGATGCTCATTGCCTTTGCTATTATGTTCACTCTCATGACCTCTGCAATCCTTCCATATATGTATAGGAATAGTCACTGATGTTAGTAGACATTATTTATTCGTTGCCCCTGTTTACTCCATCCCTTTTCTCTTTGCTTAAATTCGCTCTAGTCTTTTCTTCAGTTACCACCTTTCTATGTTCGTGTAGCATCTCACTTTTCCCTACTCCCTTGGGAAGTTCCAACATTCGTGTCTGTTCTTTTCCACTGCCATGCGTGAAAGCTGAACTGCCTATGGTAGCTTCCAGCTCTCTTCTTTTCCTGACCACTTCTGCTCTCATTCTCATGCCATCACAGCGTACACTGATGATTCTAAGTCTTCTGATAGCATCAGATTCGCAGCAGTGTTTCTGGACAGTGTCGTGCAAGGGCATTTATTATCCTCGGCTAGCATTTGTACGGCTGAATTGTATGCCATTCTTGTAGCGCTTATCCGTATTGCATCTCTGCCTGTGTCACTGTTTGTGGTCGTTTCAGACTCCCTTAGTGCTTTACAGGCTATACAAAAATTTGATACACCTCACCCCCTAGTTCTTCATATCCAGCTTTGGTTATGCCATATCTCTACCAAGCACAAAGATATTTTTTTCTGTTGGGTCCCTGGTCATGTTGACGTATAGGGCAATGAACAGGTAGACACTGCTGCGCGGTCAACAGTACATGACCTCCCAGTTTGTTTATTTATTTATTTATTTATTTATTTTATGTCTTTGCAAACAGTACATTGAGATTCTGTATTTACAATAGTGGGTTGCAATGCAAAGAGAGCCTCTGTTATGCCTAGGCATTATGGGCCAACTTAACATTATTGGCTTACAGTCATATCAAGGTGTTCCATTCATGGACTATTTTGCTGTAATTGCTACCCACCTTTGCACCCATTGGCAATAACATTGGTCTGATCTGCTCCATAACAAACTTCATTCTATTAAACTGAGTATAGGTTTCTGGCCGTCTTCTTGTCATCAGTGTCAAGGTTGGGAGACTACTCCCTCCTGTCTTCGCATCGGCCACACTCGTCTTACTCATGGGTATCTCATGGAGAGGCGCCCTATTCCTCTCTGTGAGAATTGTCAGATTCCAGTATCTGTTAGCCACATTCCGCTGGACTGCCCTCTCTATCAACGAGAGCGCAGAATTTACCCCCAACATCTTCTCCACTCTGCTGCCCTTTCTTTACCGTCCCTTCTTGCTGATGGACCTTCCTTTAAGCCAGACTCTCTCATTGACTTTTTGACAGTAACTAATTTACTACACAAACTCTGATGATGCCTCTAGCAGTCCCCTCAGTCCTTTCTACCTCAATCTCTTGCTATCCTCTACTCCTGCACTATCCACTGCTCCGCTGCACTCCATAACCTACTAATTATCCCTCTCCCTCTTGCTACCCAATACCCTTGCATCCTTCCCTGGCCTGCTGCGCTGTATGACCCTTGTGGTTTAGCGCTTCTTTTTTATTATAATAATAATAATGTAGGCCAGGATAAGTAAGTTTATTTAGGCACAGTACACGTAAGTACAGTTATCACACATAGTGTAAATTACCTAGGATAACCCAAAAAAAAGCCAGAATAACTTATTTCCATTGAGGTCCTTGAGGATGAATTACAACAGCTGGATATGCAGAATGTTGAAGGCAGTGTAAACCAACTGAAGTTAAATCACGTTTATAACATTGCTCACTAGCAGTGTCCAGAATATCTTGCTGCCAAGTATATAGGCAAGTACAAATAGGAAGCAGGTCTGTTTCACTCTCAGCAGGAGGAAGAGCAAGCCTTCACCATGTCTGGAGCTCGGAGACCCGCATGAGTTGAGCGCCTAACATGAATTAAACAGTCAATGAATTGCTGCCCAGTTTGTCAAGGTTGAGAACCAAAACTAGTATGATACTAGGGGAAGCGAAGACAGTGGAAATAAATCACTGTCAGACTTTTTTTTTGAGTTATCCTGGTGGGTAATTTACACTATGTATGATAATTGTACTTATGTGTACCTGTGCCTAAATAAATTTACTTACTAGGGGAGGTTGAAACAGTTTTGTAGTACCATCAGTAAGTGGACAGGCCTTCAACACCTTTTATTGTACAGCACTAAAGGAATGGAACATATTGTCCACACATGTCAAAGTCTGACCTAGCATGAGCCGGTTCAAGAAGGGAGCTAAAAGGTACCTAATGAATGAAGCTACAGAAAGGGAAGAGAGTGACTTCTTGTATAGTTAATATTTATGTACCTGTTATTGTAAGCTGATCCTCTCTTTAATGTTCATGTAAATAACTCAGTTTACTTTATTCCTAGTAGTATATCTCCTTTTACTGTAACTGATTTTAACACAGTTGAGTTACTTAGCTGACTGATTTCTACTGTAACTTACAGCTAGGCTTTAAATAATAAGCTATTACAAGGACCCCATTGGCAATAAGTCACTTTGTCTGCCTTTCTTGGGGTTGCCCTAGGTAATTTACACATATGTACTAGGTATGATAATTGTACTTATGTGTACCTGTACCTCAATAAACTTACTTAATCCTGCCTTTCCCATTACAGTGTCAAATGCTTCATAGCTCAGAACACTTATGACTTAACCATCCATGTAATTTGCACATGTAAATACACAAAGCATATTTGCTTTTTATTTTCAGATTACCTCTGAGGTATATTCATCTCTGGAAACAATGGCAAGTAAAGTACAATGAAGACAACATTTGGAGCTATGTCACCTGGCAGAGCTGCAGGTATTCCTTCTGCAGTAGAATTCCCCTCCCAACGGAGAGAGAGAATCGACTGGCATAAACTGGCTTCTGTAGACCTCCATGAATTGTCCTCAGGATGTAGTATAGAGGTTCTCCAAGATCATTTGTCATACATAACTTTCTGTGATGCAGAATCAGAATTTGATATTGGAACAAGTTCGGGCCAAAGAAATCTTCTCAAGATGTTTCGTTTAGCACAGCTCATTATTCAGTACCTCTTCCTGTCCCAGGAGTTTATTGAAACTCAGCTTCAAGTGGCTCAGGATGAACTTGTACAGATTACAGAAAAATATCAGCAGGTAAAATATTTGTTCTGCCATTAAAGTTAGTTAACCCTTAAATGGTCCAAACGTATATATACGTTCACTCGCGTAGTGCCCCAAATTTTTTGAGAAAGGAAAAAAAAGCATATGGTACCCAGGCATCCCCAATTATTTTAATATGGCACACAGTGAGTGCACACATCCATTCTCTCATGTCTAGGTGACTCAGGCTTATCGTGGCAATGTTGAATGAATGACAAAGAAAACGTATATATACGTTTGGGGCACTACACGTTTAAGGGTTAATGTGTTTTATAGAAGTGGAGGTTTGGCTTGTTTCTGAATGTTATTTTTTTTATGATTCTTTTAGACTTTCTATGAAATGACCCAAACCTATTCAATACTAATAATTCTTTTCTTTTTTTTTTAACATCTAGGACCTTCATTTTTAGGACACCCATCTTGAGCTTAACTTTAAAATTCTAGGTCTTATATTTAATTTCTTGTATGACATCCTGTTTCACTCATCAAAATTATTTACTTGATGAATAAAACTCCATAAGCTTATAACAAACTTTATAAAGTGGAGTACAGTATGTTATACAATTAGGGTATGTAACATATACTGAATAAACTACTTTATTAGAAGGCCCCTTATTATGCAAGGCATTTTGGGCAGCCTTAAAACTAAATTATGATTACTAGTACTACATGAGGATAAGAATACAGTGGTACTTTGGGATACAAACAGCTCAAAACTCAAACAGTCATGTAAGTGTATTTATGTAAGTGCTTTTGTAAGTGATTTTTGGGTCTGAAATGGATTAATCTAATTTACATTATTTCTTATGGAAACAAATTCGTTCGGTATTGGCACTCAAACAGCCTTCTGGAACAAAATAAATTTGTATCCCGAGGTACCACTGTACTTAGTGTTTATTATATTGGAGGTATTCAGTAATTCAGTAAAAAGATTCTAATTAGTGATACATTAAGGATGAAGCCAAGTACCTAAGTTGAAGGAATGATGGAACAAGAATGGACAATACTGGATGAAAGACAGGTTTCGGAGTTTCAGGAATTGTGCAACATAATGAATTATTGTCAGGCTCTCATTCAGGTAAGGAAGTGCTTTTAAACAGTAGTTTTGAAGTGGCTGGCAGATAGAGACTGGAATCTTCAGGCAGAGTTCCAGATTTTAAGTCTGTGCACACTTGAGTTTTTACATAGGTTGTTGGCTATGAGACCTCTAAGTGAGTACAGATAGAAGCACATCTGTCTGGTGTTCAGCAGACGAGGATCAAGCTTCTACCACGTCTTGTACTGAATGACCCAAATGGGGTTAGCGCTTAACGTGAATTATTATATGTTAGGTTATGATGTCAATACAAATATTATTTTATTCTGCATTACCTTCACTGTTAACAATAAATGTCATATTTATTTTGCAGGTGAAGGCAAAGTTACTGCAGCAGGTTGAAGCAGCTAAGAAAATGAAGACAACTAACAGAAACATGCGTGAAACTGTAAAATATATCAACTCATTTGCACTTGCTAATGGCCTCTTCCAGTCCCTGAAATGTCCTCTGTGTACCAAGAGTTTTCGGGGCCAGGACTTCCTCCATCCACTTGTGGCGGAAACCCCTAGTCAAGTCAGTCTGGTTTACTTTTCCACAGACTACTCAGATGCCATCAGCTGTATCAAGTTCTTTTGTAGTGCCAAATGTAACTTCAGATATTAGACAAGAAGTGCCTCATACCAGTGAATCTGCCCTTCAGTCTGCACCTTCAGGAACTAGAATTTCCTCAAATTTGAATGATATTGATTCATATAAATTATCTGAAATTGAGAAAAAATGCAATACAATGAATGAAAATTTCACCAAGATTATGAGAGAACTGGAGGAACAAAAAAGATCATTAGAAAGAGAAAACAAAAAGAGTCAGGAAGAAGTAAAGCGAGCACGGGAAGAAAAACATCACACAGAAAGAGAATGTGAAGCCCAGTTAGAGAAATTAAGTGAGCAGCTTGTTCATCTCCAGAAGACAAGCAGTAGTAATGCTTCCACATCTGATACTGAAAGATTTGTAGAGCTCATAAAAAAACAGGAAAAAGAAATCCAGTTTCTACAAGCACAAATCCAAAGACAAACCGAATATAATAAAGTAGATGGAACAAAAAATGATGATACTGTGGATGGCTTATCTAATGAAATTCAAGCTCTCAAGAGGCAGGTGAGCAATGAGAAGAAATTTCACAAACAATCCTTAAAACAAATGCAGGAATTGTTACAGAGAAATTATGAGGAAGCATTGGAATCTGAGATGACTAAACTGAGAGAGATGATGAAGGATATTGCTCACAAAGAAGCTGCAGTCACAGTCATTGCTCAGAAACCTCCACCATCACCCAAAACTCCAACTGTTAAAAAACCACCAGCACCAAATAGAACAACAAAACCCTTTACCTTGACCCAGGATTCACCTGAAAATTCTCACATGTTAACTTATCTTCAGGCTAATGATGAACCTCATTTGCATTCTATGGATACCCATGATTCAGAAACTGAGTCAGAATCTGAGAGTCAAACTGATACATCACAGTGGAACCACAGTAACCTGAAAGTGACACAGCTTCAAATAAATAGCTCAAGTACAGAAAGGAAAAAAGAAATTACAAAACCAAATATTCAGAGAAATGATAGCATAGATTCTGAACATCCTATATCTTACTCTTCAGAAGAAGATGCGAGTCACTCTGAGAGTAACAGTTCATCTGAATTATTAAATCTAGAGGCTTTGTTGAAAGATAATCCACAGCTGTGGAATCAAATGCGAGAGGCAACATCAGATGTTTTAGCATCAAAACTGCAAGCCTTTGGGATAGATTCTTCAGAAAGAGGTATAAAATCTGAGGTTCTGACTTCATGTTTATCTCAATTAAGAAAAGACAGGAGAAAACTTGAAGAGAACTATGAAAATTTCCTGGATCTGAGAAAGAGATTAGAGAACGAGGTTCGAGCAAAGGTTGATGACAAGATTGATAATGAAGAAGATATTTCGGGAATATATCCACTTGAAACAGTAAACAGTAAAACCAAAGAAAATCAATCCAGTAAGCTTTTTAGGATGGTGAAAAATGTTCGGTCAAAAGTTAAAGAGCACTCACAAGCTTTTTCTTCTTCGGTATCAAGAACTAGTGAATCGATGAAACTCGGGGTTAAAGATATATTTCATACTAGTCTTAAATCTGATGATAATATCAAGGCCATTTCAGGAACACGTAGGGTGTCTGATAATCCAGAAGAAACTGCGGAAGATGAAAAGGGTGATGAGAGTTCATCAGAGACAGATTGCAGCACTCAGATAGAAGTTCACAATGAAACATCAAAATCTGTCACAAGAAACTTGTTTAATGATGAAATTCTGTCAGTGAGGTCTGGTGCACGACCAAAACTTGATAACTATTTTGACAACCAAACATATGGAGAGGTTGAGGAAGTAAGCGGATCTGAATGGGACTCAGAGCCTGAATATGAAAACTTTAAAAAAGAGCCACCTCCGAAGAGAAATGATAGCCTGAATACCTCACTAGTATCAGCTAATTTACACAATAATACTACTAGGGGCTGGGAGCCACTTGAATCAAAGATAATTAAACTTAAGAAACCAGAAGGAACAATGGTGAGCAACCTTGCTCAAAGCATTGAGCTTCAGTTGAGTGGGCGAAAGAAGAAAAAACCCGTTGGGGCAGTGGATGTGATGAGTGGCAGTGTGGTACATAATGCTAGTCAAGAGAGAGGAACATTTGTGGAACATCCTAACACTAATCAGAGCTCTTCCTATGCGAGTCAGCAACACAGTGTAAGTGATTCCTCCAACACTGTTGGCACCAGTCTTTGGGGGTCAGTAGATGCTGTTGATAAAGTTGCTCTGGAGCAACCTAAACTGTTCACTAGTAATACAAGAGATACACTGCATTCTTGGGACTCTGATGACGATATTGATGTAAGTCAGATGGAATAATTCAAGAATGTAAATTTAACTGAGTTTTTCGTTTAAATTAATTATAATTTCTAATAATGTACTTAGTGTTTTGTACTTATTTATTCACCTATCACTCTTGCTGCCAAACCAGTGCTTTCTTATATATTTTGTAAATGTGAATTTATGCAATTTGCAGCTAATGTGGTAAGTTCTGTTTTAGATATTTTCTACCTTATACTTTTATCTTTTCCATGCATGTCATAGGAAGTGACTAAAATGCTGGTAGCAAGGGGCTAGTAACTGCTTCTCCTGTACACATTACTAAAGTTTAAAAGATAAACTTTCATTTTTCTTTTTGAGCTACCTGGCTTCAGTGGGATATGGCCAGTTTGTTGAAAGAAAGAAGAAAGATTTATATCTTCTTCCATAGAGGCATGTCAAGTCATATCCTTTACTCTCAAAATTTTTCAAAAATGTGTATAGTAAGTTCAGTGTCTTTTCTCTGTCTTCTTAGAAAATATTCCTGTTATAGTAGATTATTATTGTAATGCTTCTCTGTATATTTGTGTCACATTTATGACCATGACTTCATCAATAATTTAAATGAGGTTGTACCAAGAAGGGTTATAGTTCAGTATAACCTTCGGATTTTATTTCTTGATATGAACTCTTAAGCTGTGTATTAATTAGTCTTACTATAGATATTTGTGCATTGTTGCCCCTCAAGAGAGGTTCCTTGATGCTGGCGAGGGGCTCTTGATCTAGGGAATTGGATCTGTGCTCCAGTTCCCTGAATCGAGACTGAATACCTTCCATCCCCCTCCTACATGCGCTGTATAATCTTACGGATTTAGCTCCCCTATGATTATAATAATAATGTGAAGTGTTGCCTTAACTTACAGTTTTTACTAACCAGACCTTTTGAGCCTTTCATAAATTATATGACTAAGTTCTATATAATTTAGTTTGTAGATGATGCAGTTAATGTATTTCTTCAGAATTAAGACATTACTTATGTCCACATTAAACTTCATCTCTCAATTTTTCAGCCTCAGCATTCTGAAACTTTTTGATATCTTCATGAGATTTTATTTTTGGTATTTTCCTATTTTTGTGCCATCATTGAAGTTTTACTTATTTATTATCTTATCTGAGTCATTTGTTGTGAGTAACAAAGGGTACAACAGTTAGCCCTGTAGAATGCCACTCATGGATGCTTCCATTCTAACTTTTCCCCATTTGTCCAAATTCTTTGTTGCCTCTCAGTCAACTATACTTCAGTCCAGGAGAGAACTACTTCAAAACTCTGTACTACCACTTTTTTTTTTAATCAATCACTTGTGTGTTATCCTGTATCCTGTCAAAGGCCTTGCTAAATTTCAAACAGTGTCATTATCTTTATCACTATCCACTGTTTCAGTTTACCATATGCTCATTCAGGTTACCTTGAACTGTATACACCATTATTGAGTCAAATAATTTTCTCACTGCTATACTCATGAAGATCAAGTTGATAGGGCAATACTGTAAGTCACTGATTATTCATTGCTGTCAGAGGATGGTGGGCCAGATTTTCAAAAACACTAGATGACTGCATTTTTTTTTTTTGTATGGTCCCCATTGTTTGCACATACATTTTCAGCATTATCTGTTTAACTGCTTTGTATCAAAATCTGTACTCCATTATAATATTTGATGTTGAATAATCAGTTGCTGCATAACTGATAATTAACTGTAATTAGAAGCTAAGAACCTAACTCCCATATATGCCACACTTGTGGCATATCTTTTGCAATGATTTATGCAATAGTTTAATATATATATTCTTCTGTATTGAAGAAGCCAAGAAGCTACAAAAACAGTTTGTTGGGATTCGAGCTCTTGTTTGGTCCAGTTTGTCTGCTTGCTTGAGAATAATGTCACTGGTAATACTGATCTCACATAATTTATTTTCAGGTCCTCTATAATTATTAATTTATGGAATTTTATTGCATATGTCTCTGTCTAAACAAAAATGAAATAGTAATTGTTCAAAATGAAACACATTTCTTGATCTTAGATTCTCTTGCAACTTACAAAAGAAACAAATTTCATTTTCAGTCTGCATAATTGTTATAAATTTCAGTGATATTTATTTCATACATTTTTAAGAGCCCCTAGATAGCAAGTCCTTTTCTGGGGTTACTTCCCTTCTTTGTTTTTTAATGCCACTGGGAACAACTTGATAGTAACTGGACCTCTGTCGCACCAAAAATCTGTCCATAGAGCTCTGTTTCTGGCGTTTCTTTAAGAATTCCCTAAAATAGGACACAACATTGTCATTGTAAAAGTCACAAGCACGGCTTGCAATAGCTGTGTCAGGGTGATGTTCATCTATAAAGGCTTGCACCTTTGTCCACATTCTACAAATGTCCTTAATCATTGAAGAAGGCAACTTCCTCCATCTCTCTCCACCCTCCTCTGAAGCAGTATCCTCAGCTGTGGTCTGTTGCTGTTGCAGATGTTCTTGCAGCTCATCAGTGGTTAGCTCGTCATAGTCGTCCTCCACCAACTCTTCCACATCCTCGCCACTAACCTCCAACCCCAGGGACTTTCCCAATGACACAGTAGATTCCACAAATGGTATAGGCTCCTCAGAGTTAGCCCCAAACCCTAAAAAATCCCTTTCTTATACACATTGTGGCCACAATTTTCTCCAAGCAGAGTTCAAAGTCCTGCAAGTCACTCCCCCCAATCCTTACCTATAAGTTTTAATGCAACTGAGGATACTGAAGTGATCTTTAAAGAATTATTTTAGGGTCAATTCAGTGTCTGAGGTCACTTCAAAGCACTTTTGAAACACTGCTTTGGTGTACAGTTTTTTGAAATTTGAAATGACCTGCTGGTCCATGGGCTGGAGGAGAAGAGTGGTAAAAATTTAACTTTGATAAGAACAGGCCTACTGACCCATGCAGAGCAGGTCATGCCCCCCCCCCCCCCAGATTAGCCCAATGACCCACCCAGTCTGGTCACCTCCACTCAAGGAAGGAGCACGGTACCAGACCCAGCAGCACAAGCTAGTCAGGTCCAACTCACACCCACCCACACCCCCACTCATGTATTTATCTAACCTATTTTTAAAACTACACAATGTTTTAGCCTTAATAACTGTACTCGGGAGTTTGTTCCATTCATCCACAACTCTATTACCAAACCAGTGCTTTTCTATTTCCTTCCTAAGTCTGAATTTTTCCAACTTGAAACCCATTGCTGCGAGTCCTGTCTTGGCTGGAAATTTTCAGCACGCTGTTTACATCCCCTTTATTTATTCCTGTTTTCCATTTATACACCTCGATCATAACCCCCCCTAATTCTACGCCTTTCGAGAGAGTGCAGATTCAGGGCCCTCAGTCTATCCTCATAGGGAAGATTTCTGATACGTGGGATCATCTTTGTCATCCTCCTCTGTACATTTTCCAGAGCATTTATATCCATTCTGTAATGTGGTGACCAGAACTGAGCAGCATAGTCTATATGAGCCTAACCAAGGATGAAACTAAAACTCCCCCACAATTTGCTCTTCCAAGTCTGGAGGATGAGCAGGAGCATTGTCTAATACCAGGAGGCACTCGAGTTCCAATTTATTTTCCAGGAGGTATTTTGTCACACTGGGGCCAAACATGTAATAGAACCAATCGTGGAAAATGTCCCTAGTGACCCATGCCTTACTGTTTGCTCTCCACATCACACACAAATTAGCCTTGATGACACTGTTTTTCTTGAACACTCTGGGAGTTTCAGAGTGATACATGAGTAAAGGCTTCACTTTGCAATCCCCACTAGCATTACTACAAAACATGAGAGTTAGCCTGTCTTTCATAGGCTTGTGTCCTGGGAGTGCCTTTTCCTCCTGAGTAATGTAGGTCCTGTTTTGCATTTTCTTCCAAAACAGGCCTGTTTCATCACAATTGAGCACTTGTTGGGGTTTTAATTTTTTCAGCCTCTATGTACCCTTAAAGTCCTACACATATTTTTCAGACACTTTTTTGGTCACAACTGGCACCTTCACCATACCTTATCACGATGTGTATGCCACTACAATTCTTAAATCTCTCAAATCAACCTTTGCTGGCCTTAAATTCACTAACATCACACTAGTTCCAGGCATTTTCTTAATAAGATCATATGCAACTGCCTTGCCTTTTCATATATGATTGACTGTGAAACACTATCTCCTAATAATTGTTTGTCGTTGATCCACACCAATAAGTCTCTCCACATCTTTGAGTATTTGCAATCTCTGTTTTGTAAGCACATTTGCACCTTCCACAACAACACTTCCTTGGTATTGATGACTGGACAGACATTTTCTTAACAAATTACTTAGACTATACAGCAAACATTGTCCTATAAAAACGAAACAGATCACAAAACAAACGGCTTGGTTGCCCATGGCTAACCAGCACCATTCTGAAATCCATTGATAAGAAACACCAATATGAAAAGCAATATAGACAGGGCTTAATACACAAAGATATTCTTAAACACTATTCGTCAGTTCTCACCAAAGTAATAAAGAAAGCCAAACAACTATACTACTCCAGTAGATTCACTGACACAAGAGGAGATATAAAAAAGACCTGGAAAGCACTCTCTCAGATTCTAGGGACCCACAAACTGAAAAAAACAAGAATATTGTCCTAACTAAACCTAATGAAACACCACTGCATCCCACTGACACAGTTAACAAGATAAACGACTTCTTCTCAACCATAGGATCTAATCTCGCCAATAAAATCCCACATACCAATGCCCATGCCGGGGACTACCTAGATGGGAATTTCCCAAATTCCTTCTATCTTGCACCAACTGAGCCCACGGAAGTCACCGAGATTATAAAGTCACTTAAAAATAACTCAGGGAATCTGTCTCATGTCCCACCATTATTGTACAAGCGAGCGGCCCATATCCTTTCGCATGCTATTTCATTACTTTTTAACAAGTCACTAGAAACTAGCACCTTCCCGAAACTACTCAAGATGGCAAGAGTTACACCAATACATAAAGGTGGTGACCCTACAGATTTAAACAACTATAGGCCAATATCAAACTTACCATTGC